AAGTCTCACAGATGCTGCAAAACCTAGCTTCTTTTATCTGTCTATCTATCTATCAATCTATCTATCTATCTATCTACCAACCTACGTACTTATCTATCTATTTATTTTTGAGACACAGTCTTTCAATGAAGCCCTGGATAGCCTAAAACTCGCTTTGTAGACCAGGCTGGACTTGAACTCACAGAGACCCACTTGCCTCTGCCTCTTGAGTGCACAACTGTGCCCAGCAGAATTGCAATGTCTTTAATTGGCCATATAAAAAAATGCCTGCTCTTATAGAAATATGATGGTTTAATTATGGAAACAAATGCTATTTTCCTAGCATCATTTCTCAGTATCTTTGTATTGTATTGTTGTGATGTTTTGCTTTAAACATTACTATTTGAAAGATGGATGGGGTGGTGCACACCTATAATCCTAGCACTTGAAAGGTGGCTGTAGTTGGATGAGATCAAGGTCATCCTTGATGCTATAGTAAGTTTGCGAACAGCCTGAGATCCTGCCTCTAAACATCATAGAACCTGAACAGATTCCTTTCAAAGGAAGTGATGGTTAGTAATGACGGTGATAAAGGTGACATTTCAAGTGCAAGCTGGAGTTGTGGGGAACTGAAACTTCCACAGTGAACTCAAGGTTTCTGTGAGCCGGGCGGTGGTGGCACACACGGCATACACGTTTAATCCCAGAGCTTGGAAGGCAGAGGTAGAACTTGGAGGCAGAACTCACTCTCTGTGAGTTCAAGGCCATCATAGTCTACAAAGTGAGTTCCAGGACAGCCAGGGCTACACAGAGAAACCCCGTCTTGACAAGCCAAAAAAAAAAGTTTTTCTGTGTGAAGCGGGAAGGGTGTGGGTGCTATGTCTGTGTGTGCACATGGTGCCCCAAGGTCTACATCAAATAGCTTTTACTCAGTTACCTCTAGCTTATCTTTGAGACAGGGTGTCTCGGTGAACCTGGAGCTCACTAATTGACTAGGCTGGCTGGCTGGTGACCTCCACAGAGCCTTCTCCCTCCCCTCCCAGGGCTCCAGTGCTGGGTCACAGATACACTATGAGCTTTTGTTTTGCTTTTAATTATTTAACTTTATTTTATGTGCATTGGTGTGAAGGTGTCAGGTCCCCTGGACCTGCAGTTACAGACAGTTGTGAGCTGCCAAGTGAGTGCTGGGAATTGAACCCGGGTCCTCTGGAAGAGCAGCCAGTGCTCTTAATCAAGGAGTCATCTCCTTCGCCCAACAGATATGATTTTTAGCATTACATCTGCTAACATCTGGCAGACCTGCCTGACTCGGTGAATCAGTACTTTCCAAGTAAGCACTGTACTGGGCTGGTTATGCTGGCACTCAGAAGGCAGGGCAGGGGGATCCTGGCTCACACAGAGCTCCAGACCAGCCAGGGTTGCATCGTGAGGCCCTATCTCAAACAAAATCCAAATGACCACTGCGGAAAACTGTAAAACCACATGCATGTAAAGGACCCACTGAAGGCACAAGGGGCAGGAAAGGGACAGACATTAGTGACAGAGCTTGGCTGGCACGTCCAAGGCCCTGGATTCCATCTTCAGACAAGAAAGAAAAAGGACAGACGATAGTTTTGTTACTGCCAGTCCGCCACCCTCCTGCACTGTATTTAGCAAACTCTTCTTCCCAGGCTGGCGATGGAACTCAACTGGTGGAGGGCTTGCCTAGTATGCACAAGGCTCTGGGTTTGATCCCCCAGCAAGGTATAAATTGCTCATGATGGCAAATGTTGTCTTGTCTGTTGGTGGAGAAGGCCTCTACCCGTAGCCCTCAGGAGGTGGAGGCCTTTCTGCCTTTTTTTGGTGCCTTATATAGGTCCCTATCAGCTTTTTCACTGTGCAAGGACCATGAAGAGCAATGGGAAAGATAAATACCTTTCAAGGCTGGGGACATGGCTCAGTGGACTAAGTGCTTGCTATGCAAGCATGACGTTTGCACCCCCAGAACCCACATACAAGCTGGACCCAATAGTGGTCACAGCGATCTAGTCACAGCGATCCTACGGTGGTGAGATGGGAGACAGAGACAGAAACTTATGGGACAGATATCCTGAGCTATGCCACAGGGAAGGGACAGACAGCTAACATTACCCTGCCCTTTGGTTTCTACATGTGTACCACTTGTACACACGTTTCTAGAGAAACACTTGCACACGCACCCTGGCCACATGTGGCCCCCGAGCGCTGGATACAAGGCCAGAATGATGATTTTTTTTTTCGTTTTGTGGTTGTTTGAGACAGGGTCTCTCTACAGAGCCCCGACTGTCCTGGAACTTTCTATGTAGACCAGGCTGGCTTTGAACTCACAGAGAATGGCCTGCTTCTTCCTGCTGAGTCCTGGGATAAAAGTCGTGAGCCACCATGCCTGGTCTCATGAATGGTATTTTTTATTTAGTGTGTTGAATAAAATACATAGTTGTTCCACAGTGGGGTGGTAATGGTTCTAGGACTCCTTGAGAAGATCAAAATGCAATGATACCTCAGTCTCGTACACCAAGATATTTACCTATGACCTACACACAGCCTCCTGGATCCTTTCATCATTTTCAGGGTGCTCTTGCCACCCACTAAACCTCAGGAGTGATGTAGAGAGATGCTCTGCCTTGCTGTCTTCGGAATAATGACAGAAATAAAGTCTGTTCATGTCCAGTATGAATGCATTTTTTTCTGTTCTTTCTCTTTTCTTCCTTTCTTTTTCTTTTTCTTTTTTTTTTTTTTTTTTTTTTTTGGTTTTTCAAGTCAGGGTTTTCTCTGTAGCTTTTGGAGCCTGTCCTAGAACTAGCTCTTGTAGACCAGGCTGGCCTCCAACTCAAGGGGATCCGCTAGCCTCTGCGTCAGAGTGCTGGGATTAAAGGCATGGGGCCACCACCGCCCTGACTTTGAACTTCTGATCCCCATCGCTTCCCTCTCCTCAGAGCTGGGATTCCATACATGTCTGCACCACCACACCCTGCTGTACTCATTTATTTTTGAAACAAGGGTCTTGCTATGTAACCTGAGCTTTGCTAAGCCTCACTACGTAAGGCTGATCTCAGATGAACATGAACAGCGGCCCTCCTGTTTCAGTTTCTCCAGTGTTGAGATTATGGACATGTGCCACCATGCCTGGCGGGTTTATTTTAAAGAGGAGATAACATAAAAATGATCATGGACACAAAGCAGTAAAAATGGGAACGCACAGGAAAAGTTGTAAAACTCCCCAGAACCTCACTCCCCAGGCACTGGGCCTGGCATTCCAAGTTCGGCAGAAATGGGTTAAACAGCCTTGGGAAAGCTATGTATGCTCTCGGTCCCTCCTTTTTCTTATCTGTTAATTGGAGCAATAATAAGTGCTCCGGGGTTGGCATTAAATCAGACAAACCCAGCCCACTAACATAGGGCTCGGTAGCAGTCAGAGCTGGGATTTAGCCGTTCAGAAAAATACTCAAGATGCTGTCTGTGGCTCTACTTCTTTCTTTCAGTAACCGAACCCAAGGCCTCCTGCATAATAACCACGAATTCTACAACTGAGCTATATCCCCCCCCCAACTATTCTCTTTTATTATTATTTCTTGGATTTTATTTTTAATTGCCAGGGTATCTGGAATAAACAGGGAGAACTCCCCTACTTTGCATCACACTAGTAACCGCGAGGGGAGCCATTCTCTCTCGCAGACCTTTTGTTTTGCATTCATACAAATACAAGGTAACACCCAAGAGGGGTAGTGTATGACGTCTTTAACAAAAGGGGTGAAGTATCCATACTGTGCATTTGTTATGAAATGGAAACAACAATGAGCTACTTCTGCCTCCCCCCCCCCCCCCCCCCCCCCCCAGACCCCCTCGAACACAGCCCGGGCTGTCGGGCTGTCAGGAGGTTCTATGGCTTTGTGGGTAGAGGGGACAGGATCCAGGCCCGATCCCTTTTTTGAGCCTTCCCTCCTACTTGCCTTCCTGGCCCTAAGTCTGCATCCCCTGCCTTCTCAAGAGCCGCGCCCTTCCCACCTCCCCTTCCCACTCTCACCCCAGAGCTCTCCCTGGGGTCCTCTCTCGGGAGACCCTTCCCCCACTCCATCGAGATCCTCTCCATGGCGGGGGTGGTGGTGGTGGTGATCTCTCCCCTGATCCCCTCTCCATTGAGGTCCCTCTGTTCATCCAGTCCCTTCTCCACTTTTTCTCCATTTGAGCCATCTTCTCCGTTGCAGCCCCTTTCAACTGGGGCCCCTTGTCCACGGGAGATCCCTCTCTCTCCAGGTCCCTTTCCACCTAGGTCCCTTTCCCTCAAGATCCTGCACTTAGGTCTCTTCTCCACCTAGGACCCTTCTCCACCAAGGTCTGTCTCCACTTAGGCACCTTCTCCACCTAAGCCCCTTCTTCTCTATCGAGGTCCCTCCCCACCGCATCCCCTCTGCAGCCGAGCTGGCTTCCTCTTCATTGAAGTCCCTCTCTTCCGCAGCCCCTCTGCACCGCGGCGGCCC